GTGAATTAATATAACCACTACACCTAATTTTTTGGTGTGTAACTCACTAATTTATATGGTAATTTCCTAATTCCTTAGGAAAATTCAAGGTTAAATTAGGCGTTTAAGTGTGTTAGTTCATTAGCAAAAACTTTTAAATTCCAATTTTTAGTTCATTACAAAGTTGAATAAATTGTCTAGTTCAGATAATTAGACTAAGGGTCAGAAATCCCTAATTATCTAAATCAATTTGTACACACGTAAGCGACAAAAACATTAAACAAAAGAAAATTTTAAATAAGATAATAACATTAAAAGTACTCAACAAATCTCAAATATACATATGATCCAACAAAGTAAAAACAAGGTTTAGCTACTCATTTATAAGATGATAAATACCATGAGTGGAGAAGTACTCATCATCAAAATATATTAAAGAATTGCTCTCCAACGATTCCAATATGCTATAAAATCACTCCTTGAATGACCATAAATGTAACTTTCTATCTTTGATTCAAACCCCTTGAAAAAGTGGCCAAAACTATTTTAAATAGCAAAAAGCGTGTTAGCTGAAAAAGCAGTATTGCGTTGCGATGCAAGCCCCATCGTGCCGCAATAGAATGCATCACGAGCACGAGAATTCTAGGGGGAAAACAAAAAATTTCCCTTATTTTTCTTCACAAATTTCACTAAGTCTTTGTATCTTCCTTGTATGGGCTTTTTGCTCAATTCTTCAATCTTTAACAAGATTTTTGATCATTCTTTTTCTGAATTTCTTCATAAAAATCATGTAATTACGATTATCATCACTATATAATGTATCAGCAAAATACTCTTTTAGTCCTTTAACTTTATATCAGGGTTCAATTCGGTCCCTTAAGTTTTAAAAGGACTAATGTAGTCCTTTATGTCTTCAAACAACATCATTTAACTCATTTTCGTCTAATACTTACAAATGAAATTTATTTTTGCATGTCTGGCATCTGATGTGGCACCTGCCCACACGCGTGGCATCTGTTCCTCATCAAGTTCGTCAAAAATCCAAAAACAAAAACAAAATTTGCTTACATCTATTATTCAAACCTTGATCTACTTATTTGTTGCACAAGATAATTTACCATTCAACCACTTTTCACGTGAGGTTTTGAATTAAAAGTGCTATATATATATATATATATATATATATATATATATATATATATATATATATATATATATATATATATATATATATATATATATATATATATATATATATATATATATATATATATATATATATATATATATATATATATATATATATATATATATATATATATATATATATATATATATATATATATATATATATATATATATATATATATATATATATATAAATTTGTATAAATGAGATACCCATGAAATTGTTATCCATTTATCTCCTTCTTCACATGTTCATGACCAAGCTGATGTGTATGTGAATTTAGTGCAACTATAACTGTTATTTAACAACATTGATTAAAAGTGGATCACAAACATGAGTTATTCCTCATATATGCATGTTGTGCAATTAACCCCAAAAGCCTAATAGAACAAGACATAACATAATGTTTCCAAAGCAATTGCTACAAAACAACAAACACCTTATGTTCCCATTCTCTGTGGCATCCTTCGCAAGCATACGTTCCCATTCTATGCGGAAAAACAACAAACACTTTCTCTTTAATAAACTTGAACCAGTAAAAAACATTATCCATAGAAAACAAAAATTAACAAATACTGAAACGTTTAGAAGCAGGGATTGAGAAATGAAGAAAAATGAAAGAATCTGAGGGTGCGTTTGATTTGGGGAGGAGAGAATGAATCTAAATACATTCCCCATTTGACATCACACTTAGCTTCACATTTCAATTGGTTGTGGCTCTTAATGGAAGTATCTTCTTGTTGTTCTTTAGGAACACTATCTTAGAGTTGGATAGTAGTGGGTGGTAGAACATGGCCTCTTCGGAGGCTTCCGCGAGATGCAGTCACCATGGGCCATGGGTGGTTGAAATCTGTTGTAATTATTAAATGGGTATCTCTTTATAAAAATGTAAATATATATATCTCATTTGTAATTTAATGAAACAAGTACAAAGTGGCAGAGTGGTGAACTATCGTGTGCAACATTAAAGCAGACGCGGGTTTGAATCCTAGCTTTTTGCAAAATTTTAGAATTTTATTGAATTCATTGAAGATCAATTAGGAACATATGCCACATGTGAAAAAATAAACAACATTTCTAAATATTAGACGGAAAGTACTTAAATGACGCCATTTAAAGACATAAAAGATTATATTGGTCCTTTTAAAACTTAAGAGACCAAATTCAACCTCGAGGTAAAGTTAACGGATTAAAAGGGTATTTTGCCTAATGTATCAATTTCTTTATAGAAGTCTAATGACACAAGCAATATATCCACCCCCAATGGAGTAACTACCACGAGGAGGGAAAAATTCTTACACATTGAGGACATTTGTAGGAAAAAGGGGCTAGATTAGTTTTCTCAAGAAAGTCATCATAAGTTGCATTAAATACTACTCGCTCTCTAGACTAAACACTCAAGTTATCATATTTGATTGAGGTTTTGACATATTTAAGGTTAATCAAATGAAATGTGATGTCCCCCACTAACGTTTGGTTACCTAGGAAACATTTGGAAAAAAGGTAAATACTCGCCCCTTTTGGCCGAGGGACTTTCCCCCATTAAAAGGAAGGACGTCAACTGAGGGACTCACTTCTTTTTGTCGAGGGACTCATCCCTATTAAAAGAGAGGCCTTCAATTGAGGGACTCACCCCTTTTGGCTAAGGGACCCACCCCTTATTAAAAGAGATGCCTTCAGCTGAGGGAAACACCTTAAGTTGAGGGACTTGCCTCTCATTCTAAAAGGTCATCTCTAGCCGAGGGATAACCCTAAACTGAGGGACTTGTCCTCCATCAAAAGTCTCACCCCAAACCATGAGACAAAATCTGAAAGAAGTTTTAAAACACTTTTCCTATTATAAGCCCTCCTACTTGAGGGAAATTGTAGTGTTACATTTGTGATAGACTCAAATAAGAGCGACGTCGGGGCCCTATCCATGCAAGTTATCACTCAAATTCTACCTCTACGGGGCATGAGGGGCTCGCCATTGGGATGAATGATGTTTATAGTACCGTTATCTCTCCACTAGCCATGTAGATTAGGTCATGTCACGGCTCTATTAAAAATAGGTGGTCATCAGTCTCCCTAGTCAAGGGGGATCGGTTACCACTTCTTAAGGTTTTCCAAGCCATATGCCTTATGGTCTCTATAAATATATTCTCCCTCAATGGAAAAGACAAATCACAATTGACCCAGCATAGCACTTATACACATAACCTCTCACCTCATGTGAGATGACCCTTTCATACAACGGTAAATACCACCAAACAAGATCTCTCACCATTAAGAGTAGGCCATAACCACTCTCATTTACTAAGGCCTCAAATTATTCTCTAAACGTATAAGGATATCACACACATGTACTTTTTGACATATACATAAATAAAAAATTATGTAAAATTAAATGTGTGGCATAATGTGATGTATAAGGAGATCTATTTTAAAAATTTTAATGAATGATACTGGATATTTAAAAAATATAGTTGAGTTGTTTAAATAATTTAAAAAATGTGAAATAATATACAAAATTAAGTGAGGTTCATTTAAAAAACGCAAATGAGTGTAATGAATGTGATGTTATAAGTCTCTAAATTAGGAATGTTCAAAACTAAACCGGTCTAATAAAAAACCGCTAACTGAAACAAACCAAATCAAAAATTGCAAAAAATTGTGTTTGGTTCTGATGTATTTGGGATTTTTTTAAACATATTTGTACGATTCGATTCGGTTTGTAGTTTATATTTTTCAAACTAAATCAAACTGCATTATATTATAACTCAAACTTCACTTAATCCATATCCAACCCAAACTCAAACTCAAACCTATTATACCTTAGCCTCACTATTATACATTTGTCACACCAATCATTCTTTTTAAATCTCTTCATTTGTTTTTAAGTATACACCTGTTCAATTACGATATATAATAAGTTATAATGGATGATACTTGGACATTATAATTTTAATGGAAGAGTTTGGTATTATTGTGACTGGGTTTTCTAGTAACGCTTCTTGCTGTCTTGAGAGAAGATGTTACCTTTTTAAGGTCTAATATAAGATTGAAGTATTTCTCTGTTGTGTCGTGTGTTGGATAGCCTAGTTTTATTCTACGTGATATTTTTGTGCTATTACCATAGTATTGTAATTTATTGCACTAATACTATTGTCTAAAGTTTAAGTATGTACTTTATAATTCACATCATTGTTTTGTTATTTAATTTCTTTGTTATTTGGTGATTAAATAGTATTATAATTTGTTTTCATTGACAATGTTATTTGTTATTTGATAATGTATGAATGATTAAACACAAAATTAATTTGTCATATACTTATGTATGTATGTATGACTCGACAAAAATTTTGTAAAAAATCAAACCAATCCAAATCACATTTGTTTGGTTTGATTTGACTCAGTTTTATTTCTAAAAGTCAACTGAAACAAATCGAACCCCATATTTTTTTATCTTACACTTCAGAATCAGATGACTTTTAATGTCAAAACTCAAAATTATCCAAATCGCACTACAAACAATCATAATCTAAATTAGTGCATCTTAGAATTTGAACATAGTATTTATTAAAGCATCTTAGAATTTGAACATTTTTTTTGGGATTCAAGGAGTGCTTGAGAAGAGTGGGGGTGAGGGGAAAAGAATCTCTCTAAGGCCTCATTGCTTATTTGGGGTGCACATGGTAGATTTTCGTGTGGGTCACGTCACATCCTCAATTTTCCACCAAAACAACAAAGGTGGGAAAAGAAAAAGAAGAAGAATCACGAATCGAGTTTTATAGCAGGAACAAACAAGTGTTTCTTATCACTTTTTCGCTGTAAAAAAAAACTCAGTGAAAAAATGGCGCCAAAGAACAAATTTAGGGTTTCCGATTACGAGGAAATGGAAGATCAACCCCAAAAGAGTCTCTATCAGGTACCGTTAATTCACTCTTTTTTTCACTTATAGTTGAATTGAGGTGTTGTGGAGTTAATCAGTTTTGATTCATATAATCAATTATGGAATCTTACTCAAATAACGTTTAAAATTAGGGAAAAGAAAAATCAAATTTGACATATTCAATTGTTAATCTAAAAGCATGCTAGTGTAGGTTATTGGATTGGAGAAAACAACCTCTCAACAGGAAATTAAGAAGGCATATTACAAGTTGGCGTTGCGGCTTCATCCGGATAAGAACCCCGATGACGAGGTGATTCTTTTATGCTGTGGATTGTGTTTTTATTTGATTCATTTTGTTGGATTTTTAGTGTTTGTAGCTGCAATTCCTTGTGTTGGTTCATACAGGAGGCTAAAGAGAAATTTCAACAACTCCAAAAAGTTATTTCCATTATTGGGGATGAAGAGAACCAAGCACTTTATGATCATACTAGTTGTATTGATGATGATGTGAGTAATGTTGTTGCTACAAGTATTAGTAGTATTGTTATTAGTAGTACTTTTTTAATTGATATTGCTTCTAAAGATGAATTAGGGCCGTTTGTTTTTGAAAATAGATTTTACAAAATCGTTTTTCAAAATATTACAAGTTTTTATATTGTTTTTTTTAATTGAAACACTGATTTGTACATCCTATAACATAAACATACATTATTCAAGACCAAAAAATAGTCAAACTCACAATTTTTTCAAAAAGTTGTATTTCAAAAATGATTTTTATGAAAATCTATTTGAAATAGCTTCAAAGTTAAGTGATTTTTGAAATTTTGATATCCAAAAAAAGTTTCATTAAAAAGATGAAATATTTAAAATAATATTATATAACACTATAAGAATCATTTTTGAAAAAAGTCAAAACAAACGGGCCCTTAATCCAGTGTAATATGTTGGGTTTTCGGTTAGCAATGCCTATGTTTCATAAGTGTGATTATCATGAAATAATTTCATCTCGTCATGCATTGCATCCATTCACTTTTGATTTTAATCACTTTCCACGGCCTCTTAAAAACAATCATGTTCACCCTCGTCATTTAAGGTGACATACTCATCAGAATCATACGTTGTAGAAGATTGTCTTTGCCTGATAGACCTCTTAAGTTGAACTTGAGATGACTTTGGAGCTTCAGCAAGATTCTCATCATGTGTCATATCATTTTCCCCTTCATCATCATCATCATTAGTTGTAATATTTACCTCTTATCCAAGTTCTTGATCATCAACATAATCATATGACTCACCATTTTGATCATCACCACCTATAACATCTAGATTATGATTAGGTAACCGAACTAGATCAGTATTAGACAAATTGATATCTTCCTTAGGTGTAGTCTTCTTTACCTTATCAATATCTTTAATATTTTGGTCTTCCATGAATACTACATTGCGGATTCGGATAAGCTTCTTCCCTACAGGATCATACAACCTGTAATCAAACTCATATTGTCCATAATCGATGAATATACATTGTTTTGACTTTGCATCCAACTTGGATCTTTCTGTAAGTTATTAGTGCGCCTAAGAGGGGGTGAATTAGGTGATTTGAAAATTCTCAATTTTTATGGAGTTAAGATTATTTTTTCTGGTTCTAATGAAGGTTATAAAAGCAATAAATGGCAGAAAAATAAATGACACAGGATATATCCTGGTTCTATTCACACTTCGAAGGTAATTCAATCCCCTTTTAATATGAAAGAGATTTCACTATAGTTAGAATGATTGTACAACCTATTCACACCAATTGTGATGCTTACTGCTGTACCCCAAAATTTGCTCTCTCTTTTCTTAAGACATTTCTCGCAGAGATTTTCAAAAGCTCGGGTTTGCATAAGTACAATTGGACTTTTAATACCCCATATAGTTTCCATGGATCATATTGGACTTTCAAGCATCAGGTCGAAGATGGAACTTCTGAATCTTCGAAAGAAGGAAGAGGAAACAGTCGAAAAGGCAAAGCAGATCGAAAGGTGTGCAGCTGCAGATAATAGTTCGAATTCAAAATTTGGTTCAGGCTGTTCGAACCACATGACTGGTCAAAAAGGAGTGGTAGGCATATTTTGACAAATATAAGAAGAGTAAGCTTGCTTCGATCCACAAGCTTCGATTGGGCAATGGTTTCCTTCGAGCAACCTGCTTCGATCCACCTCTAAACCTGCTTCGATCCACATACTAAACCCTTCGACACATATATTTTTGACACTATGGATTACAAGTCTATCTTCATGCTTGCTTTGATCCCCAAGCTTTGACTAGGCAATGGCTTCCTTCGAAGCAACCTTCTTCAATCCACCTCTAAACCCTTTTGACACACATAGTTTCTACACTATGGATTACGAGTCTATTTTCATTCCTGCTTTGATCCATAAGCTTCGACTGGGCAATGGCTTCTTCGAGCAACTTGCTTCAATCCACGAGGATACTTGGTTGTGTCATTTGAAGTTTGGACATTTGAACTTTCGACCACTTAATCAGCTGATTACTCAAGATATGGTTACTGGTATTCCAAGTCTTGAGATGTCTAAAAAAACTTTGTGAAGTTTGTCTGGTAGGAAAGCAATCCAGAAATTATTTCATTTTGACTATGCCAATGAGATCATCTTGCATACTCAAAGTGGTACATTCAGATGAATATGGTCCATTCGAAGAACATACAATTGGTGGAAACAATGTTGTTTTGTTTGTTGATGAGTTTGGTCAAAGGTTGTGTGGTCCATTCGAAGAACATACAATTGGTGGAAACAATATTGTTTTGTCTGTTGATGAGCTTGGTCGAAGGTTTATGGATCTATGTGATCAAAATGAAAGGGTGAAGTATTCAAGATGCTTGCTGAACAGAGTCCTATATGCTACCAAGCCCAAGCTTGATGTGTTGTCCATATAATAGCCTAAAACCATGTCAAAAAGCAGTCTGTTGCACTGCTATGAAACATCCTTGCACCAAGCTGCCACAATACTCCAAAATTACTGCAAAAACAGTCCTGTTATGCTGCTCCAAAACCAGTCTCATATTTGCACCAAACTAGCATATAAGAACTGCACCTCGAAAGCTATGAAAAGAACATATCCAAACTGTTCAAATTTTATTTGTTTCCCCCCCAAAACCCCAGCAAGACTCTTCTATAAATAATTTGTTTCACAACATACAAAGGGAGGCTTTTGAGCAAGGAAAAAGGAGAAGAAGAAAAAAAGAGAGAGGAGAGAACACTAAGACTGAAGCCTTAAAACACTCTTAAACCCAAAACCAAAAATAACACATTTGTTTCTTTTCTTCGAATTCAAGAACATTCAAGGCAACAACTCAAGTTCGAATCACAAATTCCAGCTTCAAGGTAAGTCTTCTTGACTTTAAACCCTTCATTTCAAGCATCATTGATGATTCATCTTCGAAGATAACATGTAATAACCATTGCATTCGAAACTAACATTTTGATTGTCTTCTTTTCTGGTCAATTATATATTAAGAACTAACATGTATAAACCATAAAATAATGTTGGGGTGAAAGATTTACAACATGCTTTGACACAAAGCCTTAGGCTTCGACCCATACTTCTTTACAGGCCCAAACAGAAGGGAAAAAGGGTGTGTGATTCGACACATAACTTTCTGCTTCGATTCACACTGAGTTATAAGGTCAACTTTATGCTTTGATTCACACTGAGTTACAGGGTCAACTTTATGCTTCGATTCACACTGAGTTACAGGGTCAACTTTATGCTTCGATTCACACTGTTACAAGGTCGAAAGAAGGTTATGTTCAATGCATATAAGCATGTCTCGAAACATGCTGTCGAAAGATTTATTTTTTCTCTCTTTTGCACTTTTTTTTCATACTTATTTTAATTAACCAAAAGCCTTCCATAAAAAAACCTAAAAGATTATCTCTTGATTAATTTGATTTCCTTTTAACTTAGGATTAACTTTCCTATTTTTTATTAATCATATCCCTTTAGGTTAATTAGGTCAAAATAATTTTCCTAACAAAAATCCAAAGCAAAATTCATTTATTTTTTATATTCTTTGTACATTATATTCATATCATTTCTTGTACATTTACTTAATATGGTTGTAATAGATAATTATGTTTAATTTCTTTCAATCCCCATTTCCACATTTGTATCCCCCATCCCCTAATGATGTAATAGCTTAGGATTTTAATTTCTGCAATTAACCGCTTCAAAATAAATTGTTAGTAATTAGGGTGTGTATGGCAAGATAAAAGCAACCATTAGAAAACCCTAATTTCAAATACAAAAATGCATGCAATCAAACACACTATTCACACACGTGCACCTCTAGGGTAACCTCGCTTGTTGCCTCGGAAAATAGTATTTCCATCTGTGATGCGGTGGGAGAACTGACTTGAGGTTTTGCGTTTGTGTTTGCAAATGTTGCGGTTAGCAAGAGTCGCCACCGACTTTTCTTTTATCCAAAAGGAAAGGTAAAAAAGCACAGGAAAGACCTTTGAGATGTTTTCTTGAGCTCGGGGGGTAGATTATGAAAAGGGAAGGTGCTAGCACCCTTTTCATCCATGGTTTTCCATGGGCTCTTAGTTACTTGTTTATATCACTTGCTTTGCTTTGTTTGAAATGGTGTTTGATGTGATTTTGAAAGTATTTTGAAAAGAGGCCATTCGTTTAGGCAATCTTTGTAATGATTCTCGTTCGTAAGAATGTATACAAAGATGTTTGTCTTTTTTGAAAATGTTTTCAATGTTTTGTAAGATGTTTTGAAATGTGTGTGTGTTTGTTTTTGAAAATATCAAGGATTGTTTTGAAATGGAACAAGTAACTAGAAGTTATCTACCTACTCAAATGTCTTTCTTGTGCATTTTTATTCCTTTGACATTGTTGACTTATCATTGATTTGGTAAGCAACCCTATCTTTGGATGTTAACGGGACGGGCGTGGGTCATCGTATGACCATGATAGCAATGTTGCCAAGTATCTTTAGCATTTTGAGGGACCAAGATCATTTTTTTAGGCAACTTGAATAGCGTCATCGAGGGACTATGATCTTATACTTGTTTTGTTTTGCCAAGATACATCGTGTGCATAACATGGTCATTTTATTTTAGGCAACCAAGTGGGAGAAACCCTAAGGGTGCTTGTGTGCAATGTGTATCATTTTCATGCATTGTCTTGTATTTAGGGTTTTTTATTTTTGTTTTGTTTTTGTTCTAGTCATGCAAACCCTAATTTACTAAACATGGTATAAAAGCGATAAATTGTGTAAAATAAACTAAGCTATTACAACAATTATTATGGGAGGGAGGATACAAGTTTTGAATAGGGATTTTGCACAAATATAAACCTAAATATATTATTACAACAAAATCGAATTTTGTGCGAATTAAATAAATAAGACAAATATTTAAAATGCAATGCAAAATGTGTATGTTAAAAAATGTTTTGTGTTTGGTTTTTTTGTATGAGAAAATAATTTAATTTAAACCCTAAAAAATAAGAAAAAAATAATATTATTTTTGGAGGGGTGAAACCCTAATTTTTTTATTCAAAGAAAATAATATTCTATATTTATTATTTTGTCCATTTTTTGTACAAGAAAATAATAAATAATAGTATATGCAAATATTAAAAGTTAAATATGTATAAAA